TTTACACTTAACTGTTTATTATGTATTCTAGCTGATCTCCTAAGTGATGCCGTATTAGGATATGGCTGACATTTTGTTTTGCGTTTATTTCGAATTGGTCCAACTACATCCTGTGTTTCATTAACAACAATCTCATCCTCAGACTCATCAAGAATTGTATCTGGGAATCCATCTTCTGCCATTCCGTGCTCCCGAAATCGTCTAACCACTTGGCGTTCTGTTTTGCCTACGTATCCGACAGTACATCCTGAGCATCCGACAGAGTACACAACATCAGATTCTAGATGTTTTGGAGTTGAGTCTTTAATTTGTTGAGTTGTTTTATTCTTGAAAATGAACTTTTAAAGTTCGAAACGTTGAAATATTTCGTTTTAATTTAATTATATGTATTTCAATAAAATGGAAACTACTGCTGTTACTTTATTATGCGTACTTTTAGAATTAGTGTTTAGTGGAACTGTTCTCTACAGTGCTGGCCACAATTTCTCATCTTTTATGGGTTTTTGACTGTTTTTTAATCATGAGCTGAAATGATTTCTAGGAACTGTTTTTATACCGTTCATATCTGATGCTTTAGAGAGTTATTATTAATAACTAAACCTTATCAAATTATTTCATTTTTAATATTTTGAAGTATTGGCAAAGCAAGAGCATTTTTTCAATTTTTTTTTGTCAAAATGTAGCTTACATTATGACCTCACTAGTACCAATAGTTTTTCTTATGCATAAACTTAATAAAAAAGTTGAATCAAGAAGATAGTTGAATTGTGCTTATAACTGTAGCCAAGAGAAAACTGATGAAGCTTTTTAATATTTCGTTTTCATTATTAAGGGAAAGCTTCACAACTTTTTCAATCTTATATTCAAAGAGAGCACATATTAATTAATATACTCACAATCGCATTCGATATTACCGGGCGTCCCAAAATGTTTGTAACAATTTTGTTTCGCTTATCTCTCTGATTTAGTTCATCGTAGAAGGTTAATTTCTTTTTAAAAAGATGCATCATCATTCAATTCTCTACAAAACTCTGTTGATTTTATTGCAAAACAACATGAATCCAAATTGTTAGAAATCAAGTACTGTAATCTAGTAAAGTAAACCTATATTTCTTACTTTTTTTCTTTTTTTTTCTGCCTTACGTTCAAAGAATAAGCATACGAACAATAAAAAGGCTGCTGGCGTGTAGCCGTGGACAAACTCTATCGATTACTGATATTTGACATTTTTGGATATAACTTTCTTTTCGTCTAATAGTTTGACTTACAAAGTAAAGTACTTCTCATTTAAAAAATATTGCAAACATTTTGGCACACTCGTTAAAAATGAATATTAACAAGAAAGGTATACCGACACATGGACGCCGACATTTGGGCGCAACGATAGTTGAGATTCAAAGGGTGTGAGTGAGGATCGATGAAAGTTAAACAAACAGTGGCTACAGCTGGATATGAGTCATATAGAAAAAGCTCTCACACCGTATCAAGTTTGTTTCAAGAAAATTTTATCATTATGCATCATACTTTAACAAACGCACTGTTACTGAATGCTTTTGTCGTACATGCGCCAAAACGTCGTTCGCGCCCAAATGTTGCGCGCTCTCAAATGTCTGGTAATCAACAAGAAATGGCAGAGTAGAAGTAGAATCGAGCCTCTATTATTAGCGCTGTAGCCAATACTATATCACTACACTTTCATATATTTATAAAAAAATTCAATGAAACTTACTGGTAGGAAATCATTATTTGTGAATGTGATATTACAATTGGAACATCAATAAAATCTGCTCGTGTTGTTGAATCTTTCACTGATTTTGCGTTACTTGATTCAGCTTTTGTTGATGATACTGTTTTCTCTTCCTTTTTATTGTTTGTATGAAGGAATATCAAATTATCGATTTTCGGTACAAACCAATTTTTATAACGTTCATTAATTATATCTGGATTTGGTGGAACATAATAACGAATCTGTCCTAGTAATTCATTGAATTTATCATCCGGCCAATAGATAGTATCATTTGTATTGATTACCGGGTTTTTATTATCACGATTAAAAAATCGAATATATAAATATTCACTCATTATTGGCCCCAATGCACCTTCTGGAGGCCATTCTTGTTTTTCCATTTGTAATGGAATAATTGGTTTATCAATTGTTACAGCTAAATTTACTTCACGACAACAATTGTCTGATTGTGCATATTGTTTATTCACACAACAAATTATAACTTTAGCACCCCGAATACCGGTATCGATCTTTCGAAATAATTTATCACCACCACCCATTTGTCCAATGTCCATCCAACATTCATAACCAGCCATTTCAAGATGTGATTTCAATAAGCCAACTTCTTTTTGATGTGTCCATTGATAGCTGATAAATACAGATGGTAATCTTTTAATATCAATATCCATAACATCAGGTATCGATTCACCAGCTTCTTTTGATGCTTGTTGAATAATCTTCTCGGCATCTGTTCGACCTATATCTTTAAGAATTTTGACTAAGCCATATGTTGCTTCATCGCTTTTATAGGTTATGTACCATTCATTTAAAAGCGCCATACAAGGATCGTATTGTGTTGCCCAGTGTTTTAATTCACTCGGTGAATATCCAAGACGTTTTCCAAGCAGACGCCAATCATTAGTTGTTTTATTATTGAGTAATTTTGTCACACTTTTCCCCCATACTGGTACATTACTCAATGTTTTCTTGTCTATTCGTTCAATTTCTTGCTCTTGAACATCAACTCTGTTAGTAACATTGGTTAATTTTGTATCAACATTTGCCACTTTTTCATCAAGATTTGTTACCTTGGAAAAAGAAACGAAAGAAAAATTTGACTTTTCGTGATCTATTTGTAGACAAATATTATATCTCATGTAGTCTAAATTTTTACGGACCCTCATATTTAGCCATAGAAAATTAGAATTTTATACTTTTGCAAACATGATTTTAAAATGTTGTAAAATATATATATATATATTTGAACAATATCTCGTAAACGGATCTATGATATGAGATCTTACTGTGCTACATACTTCCCCTTTCTGTACTGTTTATTAAGTTTCTGAGCAGAAGTCACCTTTTAGCTTATTAACAGAATTTAAGTGTTTCCGACACATTCTGGTTCTGCTCGATAAATTTATACTTTCTATATCAACATACTTTTAATTCTTGATTTTTGACAACTTTTTTAACATGACCCATTTCTTTTTCTGTTTTTTTAATACGGTTTTCAAATTCAGCCATTTCAATTTGAGCATTTTTCATAACATCCGCATATTCATCACCACTTTTTCCATCAATAAAATCAATTAATATTTGACAACTACTTTCTTTTTCGTATTTAATAAATATATGTTTATACGGCTTTAAAATTTGTTTATAACGAATACCAATTAATTGACAACAATGAAATATTGTTGGTCTCATATCCGATGTTGATTTATCTAATAAACCAGTAAATATTCGTGCACTTTCGTCTGCTTGTTTTTCACTGTAGATCGCTTGTGCGGTTAAAAATTGGCTTAAACAATAAAATGCTGGTACATTTTGTTTTTCTTTTGTCATTTGAATTAAAATATCTATATGTTTTAAAAATAAATTTGGTTGTGTTCCAGCAACATAATTTAATGGAATATATAAGTATGATATGTCATTTTCTGAACCATCCTTCATTCGATTAAATAATTTATCGACATGTTGATCGTTTATTATTTCGGAATGCTCTTTTGTTATAATAGATAATAAATATGAAACAGTTGCTAAATATTGACCATTATCAGCAAATATTAGATCAACAAGGTCATTTATTCGTAAGTGATATGGTTCTGGACGCTTCATATATAATCTCTAATGTGAAACAAAGAAAATATGTTTGCAGACACTTTTTTCGTATCTTATCATTTAATTTGAATCACCTTGGCTTAAAACATCTCTCCATCTTACGAGGAAAGGTCCCTAAGTGTGCAATCGCTTTTTGCTTGAAATCTAGTGGACAATAAGTAATCGACTGCGCTAAATCCAAATCTGACATCGATTTGTGCTGCTGGCGATTTGAAAACCGTATTAAAAAAACAGAAAAAGAAATGGGTCATGTTAAAAAAGTTGTCAAAAATCAAGAATTAAAAGTATGTTGATATAGAAAGTATAAATTTATCGAGCAGAACCAGAATGTG